GGGGGGGCAGAATTCTTATTGAAAACTGTGCTGGGATTCTGTAACTCGTGATTGGAGTTAACAACAGTTTCGTTATCGTTGCGTAACTTTTCTATGGTATACAAAAGCTGCTACAACGATAACGAAACTATCGTTAACTTCAATAACGAGTTACAGAATCTCAACACTGGGATACTATTCCGTACATGCTTACCGACAAATGTCGGATCGGTAGACGTTGTTGCGCAGCTTTTCTTTGGTATAAAAAAGCTGCGCAACGACGTCTACCGACCTGACAGTTGTCGGTAAGCGTGTACGGAATAGTACCTGGAGCCATATATTGAAGTGAAGTGAATGTTCTTACGCGCAAGTCTAGATGGCGGTAAATAACCTGTTTTCTATTAATAAACAATCAGCAAAACCGTGCTTGTTTTATGTCAAATGTTAAAAATGCTTATAGAGATAAGTTAATGTTTATTTTCTACATTAAGGTAAACAATGAATTCACACTTTTGAAGTCGCAGAATGTAAAAATGTAGATTTCCACTTTCTGTAACTGAAGTTACATAACAAGGAAAGAAAGATAGGAATATCTCTTTTTTATCATATAATTAAAATAACAAATAAGTCGCAAGTAAATTGTACATGAAATCAGCATTAAATTAACATTAAATTACAATGAAGCTACTAAGAATGTTACTTGTAAAAAGTACGATTTTATTTTATTCTTTACAATATAATAACAAATAGCAGTATAAGAATAATAAGATTCTAGTAAAAAATTATTGATATCTTGCACTTTCAAGATCATAGTAATGATGAAAAATTGTTTCCAGATCTAGCGCCGGTAACATATGGAAGAGTTCCTTGACCGATTCTTCAAGCTTGCATTCTCAACGCGCCGTCCAATCTGATAGTCTCCCCATTCAGCATCGGATTTTCCACGATATGTTGCACCAACATAGCGTATTCCTCGGGCTGCCCTAGTCTACCAGGGAACGGTACGGTCTTCGCTAAGAATACGCGCACTTTCTCGGGCAAGGCTTGCAATAAGGGCGTGTCAAAGAGCCCTGGCGCGATCGTCATCACGCGTATCCCATCCTTCGCGAGATCGCGCGCAATTGGCAAAGTCATACCTACTATCGCGGCCTTCGACGCAGAGTAAGAAGCCTGGCCTATTTGACCTTCGTACGCCGCCACGCTCGCCGTGTTAACGATCACACCCTTCTGACCATCCTGATTCGGGGTATTCTCGATCATCAACCCTACTGAGAGGCGAATGACATTGAACGTGCCAACAGTGTTAACTTGAATGACCTTGGCAAAGTCATCCAAATGATGAGGAGACTTTTTATTGCTATTATATGTCTTGTGAGCTATCGCGATACCCGCAGCATTCACCAGCACATCTAATTTGCCAAATTTCTGTTTCGTAAGGTCTAGAGCTGTGTGAACATCTGATTCAGATGTTACCTATTTTAGAAAAAGAGAATATAGAATAGAAGAATAGAAGAATGTAGAATATATAGAAAAAAAAATATATAGAATAGAATACAATAATATATATAATATTGATTTATCATGTTTTGGATATCTCATTAAAAGAATATATAAAATAAATAAAAGAGATATCGATGATTATCACAAGTTGATAGAGAAAAAAGCAGTCAGTGATGTAAGAAAAGATAATGAAGATAAATTTGATAAATTAATATAAAAATATATACGTATATTGAGAGAAAACAAAAAAGGTAAAGATATTTTTGTGTATACTCATGAATTATTATACTCATGAATTACTCATGAATTACTCATTGTTATAATCATGAATTATTAATACTCATGAATTATTTATAGGTAGTACTTAAATTATTTATAGAAGTTCTAAGTACATACATCCATAGGTGAGAACACTGCACTAAAATCTCCTAGCTGATCAGCTACAGCCTTCCCCTGAGAAGTTGGTAAATCAGCAATGACTACCTTGGCACCTTGTTGGACAAATCTTTGTGCAGTAGCACGGCCCAAGCCAGAAGCTCCTCCAGTCACCAAAGCTACGACTCCCTGCAGAAAAAGAAATTAAATATTCTATTATCTATTTGTATATAATTAAAAATGTTAAATACCTTATATAGTTATAACACTATATATAAATATAGAATAGCATTTTTATTAATAGTTAAGTATATTAAATATTAAAAACGGAGATGCTTCAACGATGTAAAAGAAAAAAAATTCATAAATTTAAGTCCTAATATCTACAAATAACACAATATAATAACTCAAATAACGATAACAAAAAATACCTTCAACATATTGGAAATTTTCACGAAGGTGCAACTTTGTCAAGGAGCAAAGTAATTGTAATCGACAAGTGACGATTTTAACCAGCGAAAAGTCCGAAGTGATCTGGAATAGCTTGCGCAAGCGATTCTGGTATAAATGTCTCAAATGAACTTTGGAATCTCTTTATGACTTGTATTAATCAACAAGTCACCTTATATCGGTTTGTATGTACAACGATAAATTAAACGTTAGTAGCGATAAAATGTAAATAAAAAAAAATTTTCACCATTAACAAAATACTTTTTAAGACTGTCGCTTGAGTTTCGTAACATCGAAGAAAATACTTGAGAAGTATACGAGCAGCGATAACTCCTTCGAGTTTTAACCTAGAATTAAGGTCCGTCTGCAATGGGAGAGGATTTTGCAAAGGACGGATTGTAACAAGTAAGAATAAGAAATCATCGCAATCACAGTTAAATGTGAGAAGAATAAACAATTGTGATTGATTAATTTCTCTCTTATTTCTTATTACCATACTTTACTCCCATTGTAAACCATAAAGGAGAATTCATATTTGGGTAAATAAGCAAGAAAGTAGAAGCCAATCAGAACTCGCGTTAGTGGTCAGGGAATAGTTGACAGTTTCTGCTTACCTACTAGCGCTAATTCTGATTGGCTTCTACCTTTTTTTTCTTGTTTGCTAAAATGCGAATTTTCCCTAAGTTCCATTTAACGATTACGTTGACCATGAGTATTATTTTATCTATATTTTTCACTGAATGTTATTTCTGTTATGTTATTTTTAGAAATGAAATAATTTTCATGCCGACACGATCATCAAATGAAACTTGACCACAGATATTTTCACATCGCACGTAGCGCGTCTATACTTTCATACATCATGACTTAGTCTTGTGCAATTTAATAAATAGTATATAAATATAAACATTATATATATATTGATATGGAGAATTTATTAATATATATTTTTTTAATATAAAGTAACTAAGTAAGATTATACAATATCAAATTTATCGATATAAAAATAGTGGACTCTTGAACAAATAATTAGTTATATAATAAATGCATATTGTTATTTGAAATATTAGCAAAACTTTACAATTATATGAATGCATCACATATGCGTAGTAAATAAACCTTACAAATATTTTAAGTACATTCATCTCTGTTATAAATATGAATCTTTGCCTGCACAATATTATAATATTTTAGAGTTAAAAACATTTGTATCTCGTAGAATATTTTGTGCTACCTGAGAACGGCATCACGAACGCAATGTGAATTCTTCATAACCGCAATTTTGTGTGGCGTAGATACATACACACACACACACACACAACACACACCAACGTAAGCGCGCGTAATCCGTGATTCATTGTCGCGCAACTGCGCGTAAAAAGTGTATTCGATTGTGCGTAGCGATTAATGTGATGTTTTGCGTCGGCTGTAACGAGGTAAATAGTGTTTTCGCATTATTATTGTCAATTAATCAGGGGGAAGAATAATTTACGCGATCTTTGGGACTCTAGAAGTGTCATTTCATCGTGATATTGAGACAGGTTGCTTGCGACGTCGCGCGAGTTTTCGACTTTCTTTCGGATGAACTCGCTCGAAATTGCGCGAGTTTTTAGATTTTTTCGCATTACAATCGATCAATTTCGTTGAATCAGCGACGACACATCGAAATCGCGATACGTTCACGATCAGTGTGTTTAGTGGAGCTTGTGAAATGTGTGGTTAGAAAATAGAGTGTAACTTTTGCACTTTTCGGGTTCCGTTACACGCTTCGTATTGCGAACGTGCTATCATAACCTACACTTTTTATGTCATTAATTTTTCCGTCTTTCTGAATTTGTGTTGCGCGTATAATAATGTTTCAACTAATAATAAATATGAACCTCGATAACGGCTGAGACTAAGATTAGTGGCAGTGCCTTTAATTTTATTCATGTTGATCATTCGCAAACGAGTTAATTATTTAAATAATGAGCTTCTTAATTTTATTTTTTTTTCAGTATTCCCACAGTTATGTATTTATTATTAATTCTTATGACATTATTTATAAGTTTCTTAATCTTCTAACTGACAATTAAGATAAGCACTTTATTTTTGTATGATTTTGTTGCAGAATGCCGATACAGGCACCACAGTGGAATGAATATTTGTCTTGCCCAATCTGCTGCCATGAATTTGACGTGGCAGAGCGAGGTCCCATCTCACTGGGTTGCGGTCATACTATCTGCCGTACCTGCCTTGCCAACCTTCACCGCAAACAGTGTCCTTTCGATCAGGTATATATGATGATTTGATGAATCTACAAAGCACTTTGCTCTTACTATATTATATTATTCATATTACTAATATTATTATGATATGAACTATTATAATATTAATATTTTTTATGTATACTGTATACTATAATACCAATATTATTTTTCTAATAGTCGATTTATAATCAATTTTATGAATATAATCAATGGAAGAAGTGTCCATATTTTATAAGCTATTCATTGTTTCATCAATTTGTTAATATCTCTGCTTTAACCTCTATTAATATCATTAATATTTAATCTGTATTAACTATCATTAATAACATATAATCTGTATAAAAAATTGTGTCTGTTTATAGAGCACAATCAACACGGAAATCGACAGATTGCCAGTAAATGAGGCATTGCTGCGATTGGTGGGCAACAGCCAGATCCCGGCGAGTGTGGCCGCGGCGTATCAGAAGCTGCTACCAGCTGAAGAACATGCTAACTACTTGGTGGCTAAGAGCTGCATTGAGCAGCTGGCTTTGTATCTCAAGCCATGCCAAGCCGCCAGCCCCACCGTGGCCGCAGGTACACGATACAGAAAAGAATTAAGTAAATAATTCTCTCAGAATCGTCTTTCTCCGAGATTCTATCGATCTTTTCTTTCTTCTTTCTTTCCACAGGCGTGGGTCTGGTGTCGCGTCCGATGCAGCGTAAACTGGTAACATTGTTGGGCTGTCAGTTGGTGGAGCCGGAAGGCCGGGCGCGGGCAGTACGTGCTGCCCGTAGCCTAGGCGAGCGATCTGTTACCGAATTGATATTACAACATCAGAATCCGCAGCAACTCAGCGCCAACTTGTGGGCGGCAGTTCGCGCTCGTGGTTGTCAGTTCCTCGGACCAGGTAAATTACAGAATCGACGAATTCGAACAGTTCTATAGAAATGCGCTTTCTATATCTTGAGAAAATGACTTAGCATTCATTTACTTAGTTTTCATTTGTAGAACTCTTAACATTTGAAAGCACGTCAAGACATACGCGCAGATTAGATTAGATATAGAAGTGAGAAAAATTTAGATCTTGAAATGAAATTACGTGGAATTGAGAATTCTTAGATTAAGAAATGTATAATCTGATATAATCTGATATAATCTGATATAATTTTGTTATGTTGAATACACATTAGCGATGCAGGAGGAGGTCCTCAAACTCGTTCTGTTGGCCTTGGAAGACGGTTCAGCATTGTCGCGAAAGGTGTTAGTGATGTTTGTGGTACAACGTCTGGAGCCGCACTTTCCACAGGCGTCGAAAACAAGCATCGGGCACGTGGTACAACTTCTGTATAGAGCAAGTTGCTTTAAGGTAATATATCATATGATGTCATATACACATATGATGTTCTATTTTATTTGTTAACTAGATTCTTTAGTAGATTCAGTTATTTAAAGTTAAATGTAGATACGTCAAATATGTTAGATAAGAAATCGCTGAGTAAATATATGTTAAATGTTAAATGTTCAGGTTTCTAAGCGAGAGGGTGACTCATCGCTGATGCAGTTGAAGGAAGAATTTCGCACTTACGAGGCTCTGAGACGCGAACATGACGCGCAAATTGTGCAAATCGCCACGGAAGCTGGCCTAAGAATTGCGCCAGATCAGTGGTCGGCGTTGTTGTATGGTGACACAGCTCACAAGTCCCATATGCAGAGTATCATCGACAAGCTGCAAACGCCGCAGTCGTTCGCTCAGAGTGTACAGGAACTTGTGATAGCGCTTCAACGCACACCGGATCCAGGACAGCTAAGTGGTCTGAGACCGCAATTGGAACTGCTGGCTGCTATAGATCCCAGTCCAGGTGAGTTACAGTTTTCCGCATTCGGACCAGTATAATTGTTCAATTATTTTTGTATCGTTCTGTATCTACGTGTTGACGATTCTTTTCTTTTCTTGCAGAAGCAGAACCACCAACTTTAACAGATTGTCGAGCTGCGTTAGAGGCTGTTAGGATAGTAGTGGCTGCGCTGGTAGATTTTGTGCGGCAGCATGGTGGCGGCGCCGGTGGAGGTAATCGGAAATCGCAGGACGGCGGATCTGCGGGTTCAGTCGCTGGCTCAGGCCCAGCGGGCTCCGCCAGCAAGTACAAAGTCAGCATGTGTAGGGACTTGACTCTGAGAGGTTCTTGTCCGCGATCTGGAAGTTGTACCTTCGCCCACAGTGATGTGGAACTCGACAAGTGAGTATAGTATAAATCGACATCTAGATTGACTGCGCATATTACGAATACAAAAAAAAATACGAGTATTTATGACAAATACAAGTATTTAGAAACTGAAATATAAATGGCATAGATTAAAAATATAAATTGTCTGGTATGTGTGATAATCATATAGGTATCGATCGAAAAATCGTAAATTGGGCGTCAGGACGAATTTGAATACGGAATTGAAAGGAGATAAAAGTACAACTAATAACAATAAAACCTTCAAGCAGAAAGACGAATTGACTTATCACCATTCTGTGAAAACACATGATAACGTACACCGAGAAAGTGAGTTGAATTATTTAAAATATATTTTTTTCATTGGTAAAATTTCTAACACGAATAACGATAAAATTTATTATTTAAATTACGTCATCTAAATCGTCTTATTTTTTATTATTTTTCTGTAGAGTTATTCTATATTGCGCAATTATCCTTTCAGATCTTTCGATTCCACGTCCTATCCCAACTTTGAACGAAACTACTTTTATCGAACCACTGACAACAGGCTATGTGTTGCCACCCTCGCAAAATTTGACGCATGTGGTATACCCAAAGAGCACAATGGATTCTTTGCATTGTTCACATTACATCGTGGGCCCAGGTCCAATCGACTACGCTCCCGCGCCGCCGACAGCGAGCCTTGGGATGTGGGACACACCGCAGATGCCGAGCAAACTGTCGACGACAACCAACGACATTTCAAACGGAGGTAAAAAGGTGAGTAGTAAGACGTTTTCAATTCGATTCGCTCCTTTTAGAATAAAAAATTATTCTAGATTTCTGAGGAATCTTACAAGTACTTTTTTTTCTAATTGTTACAATATCTCAAATAAAAATACCTCATTGTGTGTAATATTCACGGATGTATTAAAAAAATTTGTAAAATTGCGATTATGGTTTCGCAGCAGCGAACGGTAGCCAAAACGCTGGCCATGCTGTTGCAGCGTAGGATGGAAATTTTGAATCAGTTAGAAACGATTGTCGGCAAGCAGTCGCCTCAGATAAAAACGGTAACGCAAAAAAATCTCATCAACAGAACATAAAAATATATTTTGCTCATGAGATTATATACATAGATATATAAAATATTGTGTTATTTTGAAGTACTTTAATCGTTCTTCCTTTTCCTTAGGATTATGATATCCAGACAGATTTGTTGACGCCGAATTGGGCGGCCAGTGGCATACCCGGTACCCCGCTGTTACTACCGCCCAATAGCTTTCGGTTGCCCGCCACTCCTCGTGATCCTTCCGTTATTCTTCACGACGACGATTTAGTACCTTTTGAACCTACTGTTCTACCGCCTGCTAGTAAATATGGACCAATTTCCAGACAACTCTCCAAAACTCTAATAAGGTGATGAGGATATTTTTATCTTGAAAAAAATCAATAAAATTTAAATATGTTAACGAGTAGAATCTTTCGTAGATCTCCGAGCGGGTTGCAGGCACCAGCGAGTTTCTACAATGAAGGAGGCGGCCCACCCACTCCCGCCCCGCTGACTGCATTCAGACCGAATTCTTGGTATTACGGCAATCAACGTGAGTGAGCAGTTACGAATCCGTTTCTGCTTGTGACATAATCAGTAAAATTGTACCGTTACCTTATGATTTATCCGAGACTTACTATGCACTTCTACACGTACTGCGTTGGTATATTATTAAATGAGTGACAGAGTGTGTGTGTACGTTTCAGCTTACGCTACAATGGGAGGTAACGGAGGCATGCAGACGACAGCGACGAAGGCTGCTTTCGCCGACAATTACGTCACTCTTGGCCGCAATATCGCCGTTGAATCACCAGCCATCCAATTTCCTCGTTCTGAATGCACGTCAAAGGAGTGAGTACATTTGTGTTGTCTAACGCGGATAATTACTTCCGAGAACTTATCACCGCTCTTTTTCTTCCGTTTCAGCCTGATACTCGAGTCGCAAAAGGTGAAGCAGCAACTCAAACATCTCGAGAAGAAGATCAACGATTTAAAAGTATGTCTCTCAATTAAGTAACATTTGTTGACATTATAGGACATGTTTATTTTAAATATACACGTACACAACAGCTAGCGACGCAGGCTAATGCGACGTTTACGGCGGGCGAGAGACTAGCGCAGGAGTTGCAGTTGATCGAGGCAGGTATTCGTGAGCGCGAGAGAGATGTGCGCAATTGGACAGTGGCGGCTACAACTCCTTATTGCACAGCACCCACTTCCGCTACCGCCACTACTTTCCCGCTTTGCTGTCAACAACCCGCCGTCGATAACGACCTACTTACTGGCCAGGAATACAGTCGCGATTACAAGACTCAGGAGGAGGTGAGCAGATTTTAATTAAAAAAAAAATATTCGGAGGTGACATAATAGCTGAATATTAAAATATATATAATATGATAATTTTATTTCTTTTAATAATATCTTCTTGGCGCACATTATCTAAAAAAATTAATAATTATTGATATTAATTTATATATCATAATTGTGAACTTGATTTTATGAATATATATGAACTGAATTCTATATAAGGTGTGCTTCAAAACACGATAATCACTTCTGATAGTGAGATATATATGTATATATATATATATACATAGGATACGTACGAGGCGGGAATAGCTCATGACATACGCGAGTTCGAATTGCGCTGGGAATATGAATTGCGAGAAGAGGATAAGCACTGGTCCTCCAGCGAGGACGATCCCTCCAAAAAATAATACAACAACAGTATCCTATTAATCCAGAAGAAAACATGTATTTTCACATGTTGAGTAATTCTTGGCTTCTTCGATTATTATGCTGAGAGGAAGTAAGTAGAATTTCCGACGTTAAAGTGGGAGAGAGGAAATGAGGAAAAGGAGAGAAAGAGAGAGAAATGGTACAAAAAGTTAGATTTATTTATTATTTGTAAAATAATATTGTATTGTGACATATAAAGACATTTATTATTTTATTACGTTAATTAAGATGGAAAATTATGCAACGATAGAAAGTCATGAATTTACGAGTTAGATTAGAAATTTTCTTCTATCTCTCCCTCTTTTTCTCATTGTCTCTCTCTCTTTTTCTACTTTATATAATAAAAAAGTATACGTATATTAATATATAATAAATGTATGTATATATATGCATTACTATATTCACATTAATTTTAATGCACTCGAGAAAGTTTTTATGTTTGACGAACGACTCACGAATCTGTCTTTCTGAAAGCTGCAAAAAAAAGAAGACGTAGCCATAATATGAAATTATGTGGTGTATTAAAATTAATAAGAATGATGTAGTGTATTCATTATATACTATAATATATAAAGGGAACTATACATTCGGAAAGAATGCTGATTGACCTCAGAAAAGGTAATACTATCTTATTACCATTATTAATTTTTTTTGTGTATACGTTTAGAGGAGAATTTTTATCCATGAACGCAAGACTAACAAAGACGGATCGCTATTATCCAATAATTATATTACCACAAAGTTATTATCTCTTGTTTTAAATTCTATCAATATTTTTTAATGTGACATTATTGTTTTTATTATTTACATTCTTTTGAAATTCATTAAGATTAATCGTGAATCATGTTCCAAATTTCTATCTTTTAATTTAATCACCAAAAATTAAAGAAATGGGTTTTTATTTGGTATATATGAGACTTTTAATTTTGAAATTAGAATTAAGTATTCTTTTATGCACATTAGCTTCGAAATCTCAATTCAATTTTATAACTAATTTTTTTTATAAAAATTTTGAAGAGATTTAATTATAATTGCAATCCATTTTTATACGATAACGTGCTGATTTAATGATAATTATGATGCGTGGATTATTTATATGTGGAGAATCACATCTATAAAAAGTTAATTATATAATTATATATAATAGCATAATTATATACAAATAATGATTTAATAAGAATTGAATATTTTCATTTAATATGTACATGAAAGTATTCAGTTCTTTTTTAATCACCGTCCATAATAATGCGGACTTAATTATGGAAAATAATCGAAATGATGTTAGACAATGATACGGTGCAATCAATTTTTTTGCGTATTATTATGCAATAACAATCGTGAAGATTGTCTATTATGCATTTGTTTGCACAATGCAGTTTTTTTAATTTATTATACAATTTATATTGCTGATCTAGCCAGCGCGCCATAATGATAATAATGATAACTATGCGTGGTGGGAGGTTTCGCTTGTCTCTTATTAAAGAGATTAATTGCAAAAAGCAAATCCTATCGCTCCTTATTAGAGAGAAAAATAATAGAAAAAGTAGAACTAGAAAATAAATGAAATAATAAGAGACAGAAAATATTCTACGTTTTTATTTATTTTTTCTAACGATATACAATATTTCCAATATCTAGGTATAGCTTCCGGAATGGAGCCGTGTCTTGAATCAGCGATATGCTCCATATGCTCCATTCCGGAAGCTATACCTAGACATTGTATCAATGGCCGTGAAAGCCTTAAATCTAATATTTCCAATATTTTATTCAGAGAAAACTTTTTGTGTACCTATCGATAATAATACGTTTTTAATATATTTTATAATAGAAAATGAAAGTTTTTTCTTTTCTAATAATAAACAATATTTCTTCTCTTTTTTCTGTCTTGTAGTGCACTAAAATTTCCGAGACAGAATTATTTCTATCTCTTACTATTTTTCCTGATAAACAAATTATGTAACGGCTGGGAAGGAAATTCTATACTTGTCTCTGTTAAGCAGAGAATAAGCGCAAAGAAAAATTCTATTCAAGAGAATAGCGGTCGCTTCATTTTAGAGGAAGGATAATAGGAAACAGGATTAGAAGAAATAATAGTAGGAAATCCTAATTAGTGAGAAAATTGTTTAATTATATATGTTATATAATATAGTATTATGCAATAGTGATGAGTTTTGAATTTTTAACGTTTCACGTATATCTCGCAGCAAATAATAAAAAAAATTTACAACGAAACAGATAAATTGTAACAGTTATATTAATAGATATAAAATCTTTGTACTTTCTTTGTAATTCAGACTTTTAGTATTAATAACAATTGTGTGGTAATTCATAAATATAAGTTTTACTAGTTTCTCCTATTATTATTGATTCTAATTCCACTAGCTCTCTTATTATCGCGCTTTGGACTTTTAATAATAAAAATATATTGCATGTTAAACATGTCGCTATGTGTACAGTGGTTACACGATCGATCTTACAGTTCTATATATGTTATTATAAATAAAACGTTCTTTGTTTTATACGATATTGTTCGTGACGCGATATGATAGTTGTATACATATCGGATGTACGATAAATGAATCTGTACCTTAGGAAAAAAGGGCCAATGTCCGCTCCTTTAGTTCTTGGGAGCTATGAACTTTGCAAATCTTCAAGACAGTATCCATCGAATTCTAATCAGTCAACTAACATTTTAGCCGTTAAAAAACGAAATGTACAATTGAACTGAGAAAAAAATCATTGGAACTTGATGAGAGTCAAGATTTTTATAATCGAGAACCGAATAAACGGACGTCGGTCTTTTTTCTCCCAATGTGCAAGGCCACACACAGTCGGCGTACTCGCCGCTTATCAGTATACGGACACTTTCCTTTCCATGTGTCATCTTTCCGTTAATATTTGCGAATTAAATAACGAGTGTTTTTTGATATACTGGAAGACTACTCTACAACGTGATAATGTACAATTCGTAAATTACAATTACCGTGTATACAAATAGATACGCGTTAAATTATATACCACACAATTGTAATGTACGAGTTGTAATAAAATTTATATATTGTTACTTTTCCGGCGTACTCTCGTGCGTATACATATACAAAAACATACATACAACACATACGTGTTTCACGCATACACATACGTACACATACATACGCGCGCGTGTATTTCTTTCAACGGGTATACTGTATAAGAGAGAGCGAGGGGAAAAATGTAATGTATATAAATATAATATATTCGTGTACTCAATAAAATGATTGTTACGCAATATATTTATCATGAAAAGAACTGTCGCATATATAAATAATTTTGCGCAACATTCCTCGTCTTAAGACGTTTTCGTGCGACAATCAGAGGTCAAAAGATCGCCTATGGTGATCTCGAAACACCCTGTATAATTTTCCACGCGCGCTCGATTTGTATGTAGCGCGCGCGCGTCCTCCAGGCGTGCGGCAGTGCGGATGCGTGCGTCGCGGCGGTCGAAGGACGTCTACCACACAAGACACGTATGTATGTACACCGCGTGCACACACGCTCGCATGCGCGCGCGCGCGCACATACTCAATGTATATATATACGCACACACACAACACACCCCACGTATGCCTCTCTACGGCTACGTACTGTGCGGCACCACTGCGACACAGTGCTGGACAGCGCGCGCGAAGGGCAGAGGAGCCGTGTCGCATTGTGCGGTCCCGTCGACGTCGCGGCGTCTCTACGACCTGGTGTAGGAAAAAATTAATAAATGCCGGCCAACGGAGGCGGCGGCGCGTCGCGGTTGACGCGCGTCATGCCGCCGCATTACCTGCACGAGCTGCCGGCCCAGGACGAGGAGCGGCTGGCGCGGATCTTCCAGCGCCTCGATCTCGACGGCAAAGGCCGCATCGACGTGCGCGACCTGTCGGTCGCGCTACGTGAGGTCGGCGTGCACTCCCAGTACGCCAAGGTATACGCGAATATATCATATCGTTCGTATTCGTCTTTGACGCGAGTGTGCCGCAATAACGCAGCTCTATGTGGCGATCGCGAGTGCATGTACCGCGATGTTTGTTACTCTCTCTCTCTTTCTTTCTCCATCTCTCTCTCTCTCTCTCTCTCTCTCTCTCTCTCTCTCTCTCTCTCTCTCTCTCTCTCT